GTCCAGCAGGACCAGAACAGATCAGTCCCCTGCATCACTGTGAGTCAGAAGGTCATTAGAGACTCTAAGAAGAGTTCGTTCAGTAGAATGAGCTCTACGAAAACCTGACTGAAAACTATCGTAGACGTTATGTTTATCAAGAGCAGCTGAGAGATGTTTCCACAAGAAGAAGAAGCAATTTACCTTTTTTGGCATCAAGGTGAAGTCTGGAAGGTAAAGTAATTTGAGCTAAAGGAGGATATAAAATCACAGACTGATGGTAATCTGGCGTTGTTGCTGCTGGACTTGTAAGTAATATTTTTTGTCCAACAGCGTGGATCTTTTTCATGGCTTATTTAGCATTAGTTAGCTTGTGTTAGTGTTAGCTTGTTTTTAGCGCTAGCAACAGCAGGTTATGGAAGGATTTTTATGACAGTTGTAGTTCTGATTTCAACCAGCAGGAGGAGAAACGTAAAACTTAGTGTTGCTTTAGAGGAAGTGGATTTGGTGTCATGAATGGCGACTAAACCGAGTGCAGAACAGAAAAAGTCCAACATTTATTTGTTTTAAGTATAAACTTTTTCTTTTAGACACAAATTTTTCATGTTTTACATATAAATTATGTAAAGCTGCCGCACGGGTGGAAAAATAAACACATGTAGTGGATGAGATAAGGATTCATCTGAATTTTTAAATCACACACACACACACACACACACACACCCACACACACACACACACACACACACACACACACACACACACACCCTCCTAACCCAGCAAACAGAAGAAAGAAAACAACTAAACATTTATGTGTGTGTTTGCAGGTTGCATCGACGCCTCTTTGTGAACAACATTAGCTCCAATCTGACTTTTCGAGTGTTTCAGTGATGCAAACACACTGAAGTCATGCACGCAAGTATTGTCCCCCACTGAAAGATCCATCCAAGCCCGCGCTACGACACCCGCTGGTTTCTTCTTCTGCTCCCTCCTGGCCCCTGTCTCCCACTTTCTCCGTTTCTGCTCACCACGATTTAGTTTTCCTGCTCACTCTTGCTTTTATTGTACCATTTTCTGCCACTTTGGTCCACGAAAGAGAGGCCGTAATGCAATCTCTCCCCCTCTCCATCCCCTGCTGTGAGGGAGAGTAGCTTGGCCTGTGTGCTGGGCCGGCGGGAGGGGGGGGAGACGGGGTCAAGGTGAGCTCTAATACACTATTGATCCGCCCCAATTGAAAACCTGATGGAAATTTTACCCCCCTTTCCTCCCCATCCTTCCCTTGCCCCCTCTCTCTCTCTCTTTCACTCTGTTTTTCTCCCCCCATGGTTCACCCCCTCCCACTCTTCCTATCTCGCACTCGTCTCTTCCCTTATGTCTTTTTTCCTTTCCTGTGTGATTCCTCCCTGGTGTCTGGACTCGTCCTCTTTCTTCAGTGTCTCTTCGTTGGGCTCCAATCTGTTTTCTCTCCCAGCTGAACGTCTCTTTCAACCACCGACTACTTTTCCTCCCTCGTTCGCCATCTATCTCTCCTCCGAGCAGCGCTCTGCCTCCATGTCTTTTAAAACCATGCCTCTAATCATTTCCTCTCTTCTTCTTCATTCCTTTTGGTCTCAACATCTCCCTGTTTTCCAAGTCTGTTCCTCTCTTTCTTCCTCTAAACCCCTCGTTACCCCCACCTCCTGCTCTGAGTGTGCATCAGATGGTCCATTTCTCTCTAACCCAGTGCATATTGATCCCTATGGCAGTAGCATGCAGGGCGAGAGCTGCGAGGACCTCTGCTACAGTGTATTAAACGCCACAAACGCTTTGGACGCAGGGCCTGAGACACGCCTCCCCGGCAGGACCCTGTCAATAGATGCTCCCTCCTGTCAACAGCAGCCAAATGGCCTCTCAATCTGGCATCGTGACGAGCCACAGACACAGGGCCGTGCAATGGATCTGCCACGAAAATACAGAACCAACAAAAAAATGATGCAACAACAAAGATTTAGATGTGAAAAACACTTCACTCAATAAAAGCAAAGTGGTTTAAACAGTCGGCTTTGATGGAAGTCAATCAAAATCATGTAGAACCACTTCCATCCCGAAAATGTCACGAGCAAAATCTATGACCTCGGCCGTCAATCTGCTCCATTCTTCGTGCTAACAAGCTTTGTAATAACACACACTGCTGTCCAGCGGTTACGCGGAGCTGCAATTATGCTCGTGGTCGAGGGCGCCGCCGCACACAATTCGAACGCATCAAACAAAAGAGGCGAAAAGAGCTGGAAGAGCCCGAACAATCAGAGATGGCAGCAACACAAGTAAGGGCTTTCTCTGCAGCGAGCCATCGACTTTCCCACTTAACAAGACGCGGCCTTCACGCCGTTTGCTGCTTCCATGCAGAGCGGGCTGCCGCGCCGGGAGATTAATGGAGGGAGCGTGCACACGTGTGCCTTTGATTTATGTCGTGTTGTGTTCGTGTCAGACGGCAGAGATATCGGGGACCACCATCTCTCAATAGACACGGAGATGCTACAGCGGTTGTTGGGACCCTTCTGTCGACCCCTCGACCTCTGATACACATCTGGAACAACAAAGGAGGAGGAGGAGTGAAACTCCTCACCACTCCTCTGTTTTATCACCACTCTTTAACTTTTGTCTCCTCCTCGTTTAAACCTCCCGTCTCTCGACGAAGGAACTCGTTTTGCAGCTTCATTCTTCGGGTTAATCTCACAGATTAAATAAGAAGAGAGCAAGGTTAGGAGGAGCAAGAGAAATGTGTTTCATTTTACCTCCTGACTTCATCTTCAGATTCATATAATCTAGTAGACGTTCAGTTAGTCCCACCATCCTAGTTTTGTCCACTTACAAGTGTTCTGACTCCAGCCACCTGTTTTTATTTTCCCACTTTTCTCTTTCAATCACTCCATCCTCGTCTCCTCTCTCCACCCACCCCCCACCCCCCCATCACCTCAGCCTCTCCATCTATTTCTCTCTCTGTAGGAAGGAATCAGTCTCACCTTAATTGCGCTTAAATCGGATTAATGACTGACCGGGGACAACTTGACTTAATCTCTCTTCTAGTAAATCTCTTCCTTTCCCTTCTTCTCGTACATCACCCTTATGCATGTTACCCCTTTATGACCCCCCCCCCCCTTCCTCTCTTTTTGTTCTTTTTTGTCTTGAGCGCTCTCTCCCTCCTTCCTCTTCATCACCTCCTCTCTCTAGAAGAATCAGACGTTCTTTCATGTTTTTTGGACACACTCTGTCACACTTCAGCGCTGCTCGTCATCCGGTTCCCTTCATCATTCCTCTCCCATTCTTTCCACAGTTTTTCTATCATCTTTTGACTTCATCGTCGAGAGATTTGCCAACACATCGTTGGCTCTGCCTGTCGCCCCCCCCGACTCATCAGCGTGTCTGTCTGAGTCGCGCTAAGAGGTCGGCCGCTCGCAGAGCGCTGGGTGCGCGTTAGTACACGTCGATGTGGTCCTGTCGTTGCCTCCTAAGTGCTTTGGCAATACTAGGGATCCGCTGTCATGCCAGCTAATCTCAATCGAATTAAATTGAACTTGTGTTGAAATGGCGGTAAAGGACACAAGCTTCTGTCTTGTGTGAGCGCTCAAGGAGTGCCAGGTTTCAGATAAGAACAAAAAATCACAACACGCAGATTCGAAATGGGGTTAGAACCAATGAAATCACGAGGAAAGATCAAAAATAAACAGTTGAGTAAAAAAAATAACTGATTCTGTTCCACGGCGAGGTGATCTTTATTAAGGGTGGAGGGCACAGAACGTGTGCCAACTTCCAAAACCCCTGCAGCTCAGAAGAAATAGAGAGAAGCAAAAGGCCAGCCTTGTGGACAAAAGCTCATTTTCCTCTTGGTTGCACACTGCTGCAGGCAGGCTAACATGCCACGGGAGAATCCAGCCACTCATACACCTCTGTTTTCCTCAGGTTTTTCTCAACTTTACACACAGCGTCAAAGCCATAACTAAGACTGACCCGGGGGTGGGGGGCTTCGTGTCAACCCAGAAGGCACAGCCTGACCAGCCGGAGGCGAATTCAGCGATCTGAGAGACACCAAAGTCACCTGCTGCTTTTGAACACAGAAGACAAAAGCAAGACGCTGTCCTTTTTTTAAACGTGGGTGTATTTGTTCACCTAGTTCTGCTTGGAGTCACTTCCACGACTCCTTCCTTCAGAAACACCCCTCCCTCCAGCTCCTTGCTCTTTTCCACGCCCGTCCGCTCCCGCACTCCCTTGCTCTTTCTCCCCAAGCAGCCAGGATTAAGCATTTATCTCGGTGGTCCTTCTTTCGGCGCTAAACGCCCGCGAGGACGATAAGAGTTGCTGGGATTTGTCAAATTGTGAACCATTGATTAACTGACCTTTCGCGCTTGCAAGTCTCTCAGCCACTCCACTAACTGCCGACAGGCCAGATAGAGAGATAGATGGACACATCTGGCTGTTATTATTGTGTACAAGTTTGCAGTTACAGGTGTGTTACTGGGAGACGACAGGGGGATCAGGGGTGAAGCAGAGGAGGGGGAGAGAGAGAGTGCGACGATGCAGAGGAGTCCTGCAGCCAGCTGCCCCGATAAGGTGACAGGTACAAGAGTGACTATAGCAAACAGCTGAACGTTCAATAATGAAACACATTTTAAAGTGCGCCAAGGGACACGTCAGACAGGAATTAGGAGAGTGTGGGTTCAGATAGAGGAAAAACTTCGATTTGGTCTGAAGATTTTGAATATTTGCAGAATTTTGGGACATTGTTCAAAACCAAAAATTGGGTGAAAATAAAGGAAAGTTTTAATGTTTTAAATGAAGAAAATTTTGATGCTTTTGTCTTCCAAAAAAGAAGAATTGTTCATCTCACCTTCAACTGCAGCTCCTGTCAACATTCCCAACATGAAAAATGTCAAAATGTGCAAAAATAAAGAAAATAAATCATATTTTAGACCAATATAACAAACCTATACTAAAAGTGGAAACCTGAGACAGTTTGTGTGTAAGGGAGGAGAAAGATGACCCACCTCGATCTTCGTCGCCCCGCCTCAGAGATACACCTGAGGCCGAAGCCCGATCACTGTGTCCGGGATTGGACTTGAACTGTCTTCGCCGCTGCGCTTGTTCCGGATTGGGGGAGGAGGAGGAGGAGGAAGACGTGGTGAAGCGCCGCTGTCGGAGGCGTCACTAAAATAAACATCGTTTAAAAATATTTATTTTGCTTTGTTTTCATTTACAGACAGACTTTATTTCAGATTTTTTTTGGCTCAGATGAGGAAGTCTGCGGGAACTTCTGATGTTTCCCCGCAGGAGCGCCGCTGATCAATCACGTTATTGATTCCTAAAGCAGGAAGACGGCAGAGCGCGCAGGCCGGAAACGGTGCCTTCTAGGCGTGAATGACGTCAGCCCATGTGCTCCTATAAGTTAATCATCATTTATGTCATCTAAAAAACTAAACACTTTCACATGAAGTTGTGTGTTCTCGCACTGATCCAACCGGAATTACCGGGAAAAAACGGATCCAGAGGACCGAACCGGCTCAGCGGTAGGATTGGCTTCGGTGTAAACGACGCACGAAGCTGGTTAAAACCGAACTAACAAGCCCGCTTTGATCGTTTGTTACTGCTTCTTTCCACACGACCACACATTAAAATTAGAGCAGTAGAGAAAAATAATATATCAAAACTTTGTAATGAAGGAAGTTTCTAAAAGAAAACAAAAGAAAAAAGATTTTAAAAAGACGTTAGAACATAAACAGAAGTAATCTTCAACATATTTAAAATATAATTACAAAAGAAAAAGTAATTGCAAAAGCCCAATTAAAGTTTATATTCGTGAAAGGTTCAGAATAACTATAAATTTACTGATAAACAAATTAAATGTTACATAAAAATTGTTATGGGTCTGAAAGCCTTTAAAATATGTGAAGAAACGTAAAACTAAAAAATACTGAAAATAGTGTCATTACACAAAGAAATCGAAAATACATATTTTTTCTAAACAAATTGTTTTATTTTACTTAATCGTTGTAATATTATTAATAATAATTATTATAGGCCTAATAATTACAAAAAAATTACATAAATAAGTTATTAATAATTAAACACATTTGAATTCATTATTATTATTTGTCTCGTATTTTATTTTTTCAATAATAATAATAATAATAATAATAATAATAATAATAATTTATGGAATTTAAACTCGTTTTATGATTTTTAGAAAAATTAAATGAAAATTTGCTGGAAATAAACAAAACAAACATTTTGATGTGATGACAACAAACAGCCATCTGTCCATCTATCTCAAATCCAGCCGTGAAGAGCTGAAGCATCAATGTGAAAAACGTGGCACGAAATTACGTGAGATGCCTTTTAATTTTTGGAATATTTCCTTCTGTTACTGACAGCAGAGAGATGGAGACAGGGGCAGGAAGCAGAACCAAAACCCCGATACTTAAGTCCAATTAACCGGATCTGAGTATGGACGACAAGGTTAGGAACAGGCTCAACACGTTGGCCTGAAACCACACACACACACACCACAAATTAGGCCAAAGCCTGCAGTCAGCGTGAAAATCAAAGCAAAACAACAACTTTAGTTTTTGTTGCTTGAATAAATTTTAAAAATGTTTTTACAGATATTTAAAATTTTCCATTAGAATCCTAATTGAGAATTTATTACTATATTAATAAATAACATTAATAACATTAATAATTATAATAATAATATTAATAATCATCATAATAATAATCATAATAATAATAATCATAATAATAACGTGTTATTTCATTAGACCTGTATCAACTGCAATTCAACAATAAAAACAAAACATTTTGTAACGCTGGTCGCATGGGTTACAACTTCCTAATTCATGCTTATTTTAATTGCAAAGCGCGTGCACAATCTGGCGCACGCACGTGTTTTAAAAAAACTTTTTTTTAGGTTGGTTGATGTTTTCTAAAGTCAGCTGTGAGTATCTGACACTGAAAAAACATCAGTAGGGTTTCGAGTGGATCCATTGATCGATCTCTTAATCTGCAATAGTTACATGCATGTATTGATTTACAAACGCTGTTTATCTGGAAATATACTGGCACAAATAATTGATGAAGTACACCCACGGGGCGCATAAATATGCATCAGAGTTGAAAGGGGCAAACACCTAAAAAAACAGAAACCTGCGAAGTCGAATAAAGATTATTCCGAATATTATTTTTTGGGAGCTCGAGTCCGTGCTGCATCGATGCGCTGATTTCTGAAACAAACTCCCATGCGAGTCTGGAAATACACAAATCAGCCGCTTCACTTTTACTGGAGTAAACTTCAACACATTTGCTTTGATGAAGACACACATTGACGGATGGTCATGAAAGAAAATCACACATCTCCTCCTCTGTGGGGATCTGAGAGCAAATACTTGGAAGACTTTTGTGCAAATTTCTGCTAAAAACCATGCAAGTCCAACGCGCGTGCATGAACTTGAAACTGAGCCAAGATCAAACATTTAAAACAGCAATCAAAATGATTAAATCAAATAAAACACATCAACATTTGTGCACGTGCATAAAAACATGTCAGAGCTGAAGCTGGACCCAAAAACAGGCCTAATGAGCTTCCGACATCGCGCGTGCGCGCACATACACGCACGCTCATACTTATGAAGGCAAATCAAACGACTCACACCAGCACACACAAACGTACCACTGGGAGGGAGAGTTGAGATGTGCACTGGCTGAGGTCTCGTGCAGCTCGCCGCGTGAGCGCCTGTTTAATTGACTGATTGATAAGGCGGCGGAGGTGATCGAGAGCCGGACGCCTTAACAAATAGACATTTAGGGCTAATCCGGGCCAGGGCAGACAGCTGAACGCACATTCGACACTCTCACACCTCCTCACGCGCTCCATGATTAGGTACCCTCCTGGCAAACGCAACTTTCTCCAGAGATGTCCGTATGGCGAATGCGTAATTACGCACGGTCCAACTTTCGTGTCACAATGATGCGTCAATTAAACTTCGTCACGGAAAGCCTAAAAAAGATAACACAGGAGCGTCTGCAAAGACACGCTGTCGCGCTGAACCACAAACTAAACTTGTTCATCTTGTATCAAAAAAATTTAACAGAAAAATAAACTGAAATTTGAAAATATCTTTAAATAAAAAAACTGTCAGGTGCAAATAAATTGTGCAAAAAGCGAAACGTACCTCCAGCTTTATTTCTTAGAAGTTCTCACTGGCTGAAGCGCGCGCACTCAATCCAAACGCGTTCACTCTGAAGGTGCAGCGAGGCAGCGACCGGAGAGGAAGCCCATCTACCAACCTGAACCCGGGGAGGAGAGCAGGAGGAGGGGGGAGGAGGAGGGGGAGGGAGAAGAAGAGGAGGTGTGCACCTCTCTCTCTCTCACTCTCACTCTATTTATCTCTCCTCTCGCGCGCGCGAGTGTGTGTGTGTGTGTGTGTGTGTGTGTGTGTGTGTGTGTGTGTGTGTGTGTGTGTGTGTGTGTGTGTGTGTGCGTGTGTGTGTGTGTGAAAGTAGTTAATTAGTAAATCCCCATTCGCTGTGCCTCGGGTCGGTTTGTTTTCCCCGGTCGACAAGCCGAGAGGAAAGAGAATTTGAAGTAGGATTCGACCCGTTTCCGCTCCTGTGTCTCATATATGAGGTCTGCGCGCGCGTGCGTGAGCGCGCAGAGTGTTTGCGACTGTGTGCGTTTGCTGCCACAAGAGGAGCCCTATGGCTACAACAGCCCGCCTGCGCTGGAGAGGAACTGGACACCAGCAGAACTACCCCGACATCTACAAGTTTGGAATATATTCATCCGCTTCCAAATTCACAACAAAACAATAAAAGTCGTCACTTCCAGGAGTTTCGGCTGGGATTTGAGTGTTTGACGGACTCAAAAAGCCTTCAAACCTGAAGTTTGCCTCAACACATGAAAATGGTCTGCTTCCTGAACCCAAACATCACTCACAAAGAAGAAAGTGTCATCATCTGTCTCTCACACCTGTTCCCAAATCACCTCTTAAATCAACCTGCAAAGGGCAGCAGAGCTTGCCCCTGTGAATCGACTCTGCCCTTAACAAACTTTAATTATTTAATTGATCCCCAATCAGCGAGTTAATAATCAATTAAGTAAAGCAATAAAACTCACTTGAGCGGGGAAAGCCAGAGTCTATGACAAGGGAATCAGGGGGAGAGAAGAGGACTGGGATCGAAGGATGTGGGGACGGAGGCTGAAGGTAAAAGGATGTGCTGGTTTCTCTGTATCCAGTTGACCTTTTAGGTCACAATCAGGTCGCACTTTTACACTATAGAGGAGTGTTACCTGAGTAGCAAAAGTGTTAGATACTTAGAACTTGGTGTTGATTCTGTGTGATTCAAACATGATGGTTCAACCAGAAATGTAGAGAAATTGGGTTTGGGGTAAATTCAGCACCCTTTTGGAGCTTCATAGCTCAGGATGACTTCACAATAAAAGCCTCACTCAAAGTTTGTAAAGGTCGTGGAAAGCTGGACCTTGCATTACTGAACTTGTGTTGTGATGTGTTTTATCTTTTCCACACAATCATAATTTTTGTTTTATTTTAATTATGGGACGTTAATTTCCGTAAATAGCTTCAGACAACATGATTTGGAGGTTCCTGATATTTGGACACCTCTCCTCTGATTGGCTAACAGCAACATGACTCTACCGCTGACTCTGCTCTGCAACGCTGATGTTTTATCTCCACAAATAACACAAGCCTGGAGGAGTTTCGCTGTGTGGTGGAGTTACTAATGCTAAAAGTTAGCTTCTACTAGCCGAGATGTTAACTGCTGTTTCCTGGACGATATACCAACAATATCCTTCCCTGTCGCGAATCTAGATGGGTGAGTCCATGAATGTTAAGGCAAGGCAGCTTTATTGATATAACATATTTCAGACACAGATTCAATTCAATGCTTTCCATTAGCAAGAATATATGAGCGACAGTGTGACGTAGATCTGTCAGGCTTTTCAAATCCTGGAATCTCATGTATATTTTCTATCAGAAGCTAATGCAGAAGATAGGTGTAGGATTATAATCACAAATAATATAAAAGTGGTTTTTCAGTGTTTCACACTTTTAACGGAGAGTTTTTATCCGTTGAAATTTATTTTAAAAAATTGCATTCACAAACTTTTTTCTTTGACACCTAATGTGATT